CCCCCCCTGTAAACCTTGATATTTATCAAAGGTATTCTTTGTACAATTACGAATGCTTACCTAGCCCTTAGTGGAGCAAGCAGTGAAATATCTGCCAAGATCTCTTGCAGCTTTAAGGTTAAAAGGACCTTGTTTATTCACATTCAGCAACATGAAGCTTACTATTGCAGTAAATCTTCTATACTAAGACAACTCTGAATTACTCTGCCATGAAATGAACTTTATTTACATTGCCTCATCCTGGAGATACACCCACAGAAATGCATTTGTAGACCACAGTGGAAAAAAATAGCTTCTGAACCTAAGTTCTACTTAGCAGCTCCATGATGTATGTTTTAGGTTGGTTGGGTTTTTTTGAATGTTGGGGGAGGGCTGGTGGTGGGTTTTTGTTTTTTGTTGTCTGGGTTTTGTGCGGTTTTTTGTCTGCTTTAAATAGCCAAACTACTGAGATTTTTGGTACCAAAATGTTCTGGTGATCTAGTTTAATGCTCCTCTCTGTTCTCCTTTGCTACTCTTCTCTTACCAACAGCTAACATCAGGGAATACAGGGAAGCTTAACCAGTCTCTGCAAAGAAAGGGAGATTTTAATTAATTGCAGTTACCTCACTTGTTTCTCAAGCCTCTGTTGCTGTGTTCTTTAAGCTTCTCAAACAAATTTTTCTTGTGATAAGCAAGAGTGATGGGGGTAGAGCTTAGAGACGGAGAAAACTGATGTCTCTGGCTGCTGGTAGCGTTACATTTTTGTCATGAATTGGAAGGTTCACTGAATCTCACTGCTTCAGAAACATTCAAGTCTCTTGAACTCTGAACAGCAGTTTGGACAAAGCCTCTTTCTTTCTGAAAGCTGTCTGTAGTTGTAAGAAGCATTCTTACATCTGTTTACACTTGATTTGTGTTTTAAAGGTTAACCCTCATAGCTACTGAGTTAGTATTGAAAAAGCCGAGCCTCTGAATTAAGGGTATAGCTCCATGGTTGCCAAACAAATGGCGTTGAGAAGATGACTTTTTTCAGTACTGTAATGGCAGCTATGGATTGCATAATCTCAGCACTCATTTTACCAGTTCACTTGATTTGTTTGCTGGATTTATTTACTAGTGAGGAAGATGTTGACTTCTCCTGAGAGTGGGCATTCGAAGTGTTATAAAACGGAACTGTTGCTAGAATTGTGGGGTTATAAACTCTATTAGTTAAATATAGGACTGTAATCATAGAATCATTGAGGTTGGAAAAGACCTCTAAGATCATCGAGTCCAACCGTCGACCCAACACCACCACCCACTAAACCATGTCCCTAAGTCCCTCATCTACTCGTCTTTTAAATACCTCCAGGGATGGGGACTCCACCACTTCCCTGGGCAGCCTGTTCCAATGTTTCACCACTCTTTCAGAAAAGAAATTTTTCCTTCCATCCAATCAAAACCTCCCCTGGCGCAACTTGTGGCCATTTCCTCTCATCCTATCACTAGTTACTTGGGAAAAGAGACCAACACCCACCTCGCTACAACCTCCTTTCAGGTAGTTGTAGAGAGCGATGAGGGCTCCCCTCAGCCTCCTTTTCTCCAGGCTAAACAACCCCAGTTCCCTCAGCCGCTCCTCATAAGACTTGTTCTCCAGACCCCTCACCAGCCTCGTTGCCCTTCTCTGGACACACTCCAACACCTCGATGTCCTTCTTGTAGTGAGGGGCCCAAAACTGAACACAGTATTCAAGGTGCGGCCTCACCAGTGCCGAGTACAGGGGCACGATCACTTCCCTCCTCCTGCTGGCCACACTAGTTCCGATACAGGCCAGGATGCCATTGGCCTTCTTGGCCGCCTGGGCACACTGCTGGCTCATGTTCAGCTGGCTGTCAACCAGCACCCCCAGGTCCTTTTCCGACAGGCAGCTTTCCAGCCACTCTTCCCCAAGCCTGTAGCGCTGCATGGGGTTGTTGTGGCCGAAGTGCAGGACCCGGCACTTGGCCTTGTTGAACCTCATACAGTTGGCCTGGGCCCATCGATCCAGCCTGTCCAGATCCCTCTGTAGAGCCTTCCTACCCTTGAGCAGATCAACGCTCCTGCCCAACTTGGTGGTGTCTGCCAACTTACTGAGGGAGCACTCAATCCCCTCATCCAGATCATTGGTAAAGATATTGAACAAGACTGGCCCCAAACCTGAGCCCTAGGGAACACAATGTTACAGTCTGTAGTCTATGTTAAAACAAGAGTGATGAAATCAAGCATAGAACCATAGTACTCACTGCAATTGAGTGCATGTGGCCCAACTTCACCTCTGTTGACTGCCTTTGGAGCCCTGGACTGACTTTTCTTCCTTTCCTCCTTCTCTCATGTAGGGTGTGGCTTCTACCTACCACATTAAAAAAATATTCATTCTAGCTGTCAGCATTTTCTAAACCAGAGATTTAATGATTTTCAATATCTCCTTCCTATGACTTCGTTCTCTGTAGGGTTTAGGGCGTCTAGCACCTGCAGTAGCATGTATGAGGGTCTTTATGGTGCCATTCTGTATCATTTGAAGCTTTTTTAGTGCTAAAGTCTTTGTGAACAGGGAATTTGCAAGTTGCGGCCCAGCAAAGGATGCCAGCTGAGCCTAGGTCACTGTGTTGCAAGGGGTTGAGATCTCATAGTCAGCTTCTGAGTAGAAAGCATTATCTGTGGAAAATCTATTTTGAATTATACAAGAGCTTATAACTTCTGTAAGGCATCAGTCTGCTTTGAAATTATGAACTGCGTTATGTTTATGAAAATCTTGAAAATAGCCTCCTTCCCACAGTTAAAAGCTCTGCATGTTTCTGACTCACTGACAAGTTCTTACTGTTACAGAGATCATACTTAGATGGAGCTGCTCGTATTACTGACACATAAGAATGTCTGCCGACTTTTTTTTTTTCTTTAATTTTTTATTTATTTTATTTTATTTTTCAGCAGTGACTGACTGAGCAGCTAGATTGGGTATAAATTGCTGTGAAATTCCAGTATGGCATAGTTTAGTGTCAGGTGTGCTTTTTCAAGGTGATAGATCTGAAAAATACTGCTCCAGGAAGGATTCGCGTTGCTTTAGAACCATGGCTTTGTCAGCTGTGGATCAAATGAGGGCTTCTTAATGAGCCATGCTGAGTGCTGTCAGGAAGCTGGGAAAGAGGGGACAGGTTATGTACCTCCTTGGATTTTTAGAGTACAAGAGCACAGCACTCTGTGCTGTGAAATTGTTTAATTTCTATTATATTGCTCTGTGTTCCAAACCAGTAGAGCCAGAGTATTCATTTGTAATCATGTGAACTTGTATATCTGCCTTTTGTTTAGCTTTGCTATGAAATTGCTCAAAAACCTATATTTTGTTAACAGATTGACTGGAATGAATTTAATATTGCAGATTAGCTAGAATAAACTATTTCATACTGCTGTTGTGTACCCCTGGAGGGGGCAGCAGTGATGTTTGCATTATTTGCTTCTCTGCAAAATACTAGGGAGCGGACTATCAGGCTTTCCTGATAATTCCTGATGTTAGTGAAAAGTGGATTGACTTTTTTGTTTGTTTCCTTTTCCATAGGTTGTTCCAACAATCCTGGAGAAATTTAAAGAGAAGAAGCCTCAGGTAGTGCAGGCACTGCAGGAGGCTATTGATGCAATCTTTCTTACAGTAAGTAGGAGTGACAATTTTCCTGTTGTCTGAGAATTGGTCTCTAATTTTGATTTGCTTTTTCTCTTTTTCTCTTACTTCACTGAAACTAATGACTTCTTTATCCAACACTAGACCACATTGCAGAACATAAGTGAAGATGTGTTGGCAGTGATGGACAACAAAAACCCAACAATTAAGCAACAAACATCCCTTTTCATTGCAAGAAGCTTCCGTCACTGCACACCTTCTACTCTGCCAAAAAGCCTGTTAAAACCTTTCTGTGCTGCACTTCTCAAGGTAAAGCAGGAGGAGTTGGTGCTTCTCTGGCATTGACTCGAGCACTGTTGTTGTAAAGCGTTGGGTTGTTTTGGGAGAAAGATCCTTCTGGTAGAGCAAGGACTAAAGAGTTCTTGTGTGCTATGTAGCCATCAGAGTCAGTTTTGACTGATGTTAAACTTGAAGATGACTGTCAGTCATGGGAACAGTTTAGTCTCCTTTTTCTTAGCTTCTCTGAAACTGAAGACTCACCAAGTTTATAATAGATTAAGACAGTGATGTGCAACTATTAAACTTCTGGGCACTGTGCCACTTGCTTCTTGCAGACATCTCTAGCAAGCTTTTGTTGTAATGCTACATATAATTTACCATGAATAAAAGAACCATCGATTCATACACTGCAATTACACTAGAGCATTTATCAGTGTAAACAATAATGATGTATACTTTTTTCTTATTGCAAAATAGCCCTTTCCTCATTATGGGAAATATCCCTGGCTTCAAAAATGGAGATTTGAACAGGGTTGCAGAACTTCAAACTCCTTGTGAACTTTCATGGTGTTGCAGTATCTATTAAAGCATGAATGTTTACCCTCTTCTTGTTGTGTGAAAGGTCCAAAGATGAGAAACTGGCTATATCTGAGAAACAGTAGACTTGATCAGTACATAGGAAAACAGAAGTGAAAAACAACCTTTTTCTTTCTGCAATGGGATGTTAAGGATTATTCTGTAGTAGACGTAGATTTTTAAAAAGGGGAGGGGATTTATACAGAAGATAGATTTAAGAATCTGTTTAGATATGAGCTGCAAGTCATATGATACAAGTTGTCTTTCTCTGCAGCATATCAATGATTCTGCTCCTGAGGTAAGAGATGCTGGATTTGAAGCATTAGGCACTGCCTTGAAAGTGGCTGGGGAGAAAGCTGTGAACCCATTTCTAGCAGATGTAGACAAACTAAAGCTTGATCGGGTGAGTTTGTTGTCATAAATGTTGTAACAAACAAACAAAAAAAGCTCCATTTATCCATTTAAGATGCATCTTAGGCTAGAAAACACTGAAGAGGATGCTTTAGCTAATGACTCTTAGCACAGATTTTTGAAAATTTATTTTTTACTTAAAAGTTACATATTGCAGGGAATTGGAAAAATCTCATTATTTCTTGCTAGATTATCAAGCATCTTTTCTTTGACTTTCCACTACCTAAAATACATTAGTATGTTAACATTGCACCTTTTCATTCTTATGTAAAGTATCTGTTTGGCTTCAAGGCTCTACTATCGATGAGGTGGGTTGTGAGGTTTGGTTTGTTGTTTGGGGTTTTTTTGGTTGGGTTTTTTTTTGTTGGTTGTATGTGGGGTTTTGTTTGGTTTTGTTCCAGACAGAAAGTGTTCAAAGCTCAGGGTTTAGGTTACAACCACATGGTCTAATTCTATATTACTAGACAGGATTTGGTATTAAAGACTTATTTCCAGCAGGAAAGTTTTTGTGCTTTTGCATAAGCTGACAGGTTTGATTGAATGATGATTTTATAATTTAAGGTGCTAAGAATTAGTCTTTAGAGCATCTATAAGTATTGGGAGGTGTGTGTCAATGCTTTATGTGTATAAATGCACTTCATTTTGAACTAGGAAAATTGTTCTAGCAATACAATGAATGGCTGATGCCATTGACTGGTTAACATTACTACTGTAAGGAACACAGGATAACAAAATTTTGTGATGTAAATAAACTCTTCACATTTTTTCCAGAGTAGTCAAGTTTGAGCCACTGCTGTTGAAGGGACACTGTACATCCAATTGTGGTAGCTAAATAGCTTTTTTCTTTTTTCCCCTTCCCTGCTGCCCCCCCCCCCCCCCTCTTTTTTTTTTACGTCAGATTAAAGAGTGTGCTGAGAAGGTAGAACTGGTTTATGGTAAAAAGACAGGAGGAGCTGCTGAGAAAAAAGAAGGCAAGCCTATTATTGGAAAGACCCCTGCTCTTTCAGGGACTGGTGGAGATAAAGAAACAAAAGATGCAGCAACCAAACCAGGACCACTGAAAAAAGCGCCTGCTGTGAAGGTAAGAGAGATTGCCAAGAGGTTTTCTGACAATCATGGCTGTCTCTGCATCGAATAGTTACTTACTGAAGATCAAAGGTGGCCTGTTGAACATCTCCTTCCACTGAGGAATCACTGTCCTTCTGTTAGGGGTAGGTGAGCCTAACAATAAAAAGAATCTGGGACTTTCTGAGAATGTACTTGGTGAAATCTCAGTTTTTAATGATACAAACTGTTTTGTCACTTACGTCTTAATACCAGATTTTGATATTGAAATAGTGATAGACCACTGGAGGCATTCAGAGGAGTCTCAGATGTTGTAACATTACTGTATCACCACAGAGCGCGTTAATATTTGGCTGAAGTCAAGGTCTCTTCTTAGAACTAGCAAGGTTACTACTTAAATGTTGAGTATTCTCTTCAGTGTTGTTTTTAGTTTGTTACCATAAATAATTTGCACCATTAGCCTGTATTACTTTAAAATCCAGATAATAATTTTAAAAATTGACCTTAGTAGTACTATAGATGGTCTTTGTAACACCCTACTTACTTCTCCAGGTGGGAAACCTGGAAGTGAATACTAGAATAGATCATATTTTCTTTTTTTTTTTTAATCTATTGATATTCTGGTAGCCTTGAAAAGAGATACCAGTCGCCAAGTTTAGTATCTAATCAGTATCCATAGGAGAATATATAGATTAATTCATTATTTCCTGAACCTTCACAAATAGATAAATTCTTTCCCTTTTCATCTTTTATTGTCTTGTGTTAATCTATTATACTCTGGTAGCCTTGAAAAGAGATACCAGTCGCCAAGTTTAGTATCTAATCAGTATCCATAGGAGAATATATAGATTAATTCATTATTTCCTGAACCTTCACAAATAGATAAATTCTTTCCCTTTTCATCTTTTATTGTCTTGTGTGTCCCTGTTACTGTACATGTTTTCTAAAACCTGGTAGTCTGAAAGCAACATGAATTAAATAAGCTTTAGCAGGAAACTATTTCTTTGTCTGCAGGTGTTATAGTACTAGAGAGATACGAATTTTTTTGACATTAGAATGTAGAATTGTGGAAAAACAGCAGTTCTCTTGGTATCTGATGAACTAGAGACCTGTTTGATCTTGGCTAACTTGTCCATTTCCTTTTTAGCCTGGGGGCCCACCCAAGAAAGGCAAACCAGCTGCAGCTGCAGGTATGGGAGGTGCTGGGGCTAAAGGCAAGAAGGGTCCTGAGACCAAAGAAATATTTGAATCTGAGCTCTCGGTAAGTATTCTGCTGTTGTCTGATATACGAAGTCCTCTCTATAAGGAGCTTCGGTTAATCACTTCTTCGGCTACTACAGAATTTTTCACTGAAGTTGGGTTTTTTGTTAGGACAAGGGAAAGCAATACATTTAAATAAATGGAATTCATAACTGGTAAAATGGGTGTTTGATATATTCTGGTAAATACACCTGTTCTTCAGGCTGTCGTTGGTACCAGGTCATATAAGCTGGTGAACAATAAATCATGCTAATATAATAGGGTATATTGTGTTGTCCCTGAACTAGGAACAGATGAAAAAAGTGATGATATGACTACTTTATATGTAACTTAAGATGCATGGTTTGCTGAAGGTGTCTGGTATTAAAAGCCTGAGAATACAGTATTCTAGAGTTTATAATTGAAATCTGAAGTAGAATACAGTAATAATTAAACAAACTAATGCAAGTTTATTCTGTGCTGCTCATCTTAAATTACACTTCAAGAAAATTATTCAATTCTGCATGTTAATTGAGCATCTACCTATCTTCTTGGTAGGGAACCAGGTAAACTAAACTATCTGTAGGTCAAACAGTATCAAAAAGCTATGAAAGCTTTGCTAGATGTATCTGCAAGTTTTTTGGACTGTCAGCTCTCTTTAGAGTGTTGCTTAGAATGAATACTTTCCAGTATGTATCCAGTTATATTGCTAGTTATACAGTGGAAAATGAGTATACACTTTCTGAAGGTGATACAGAGACCAGTGAAACAAGGGAATTTTTTATCATTTTTCATATACTAAATAACTTTAATTCTTCATTTTGCTAAAATGGATGCAGAAGATGCGTCTTCTCCCATCCACCCTCATCAACCACTGATTCATTGCTGTGAATGTTCATTCAGACTTCATACAAAATTATCTTGCAAATTTTAGGTTACATCTACTTGATTCTGTAAGTAGATAGTGGCTATTCAGGGTAATTTTTGACTGCACAAGTTATCATACTTTTTAGGGGTTACTTTTCTGTTGCAGTACAATTTAGCAGCTTCCTAAATTCTTAAGGCCCCTGAACTGTAATCCATACAAAATCTTTCAACTTATAACGGAAAACTTTTCATATTTTGTAAATGCACCACAGTGCAAGGGTCATTCCAGTATATTACCTGTCCTTAAGGCTGCTGCCCCCCTCTGAAGGGATACAGTGAGGTGTTAACCTTACTCTGATCTCCCTGCAGATAGAAGTATGTGAAGAGAAAGCTGCTGCTGTCCTTCCAGCTTCTTGTATCCAGCAGTTGGACAGTGGTAATTGGAAAGAGAGGCTTGCCTGCATGGAGGAGTTTCAGAAGGTAAGTTTGTAGCAGTTGGTAAGAAGAGAGGCAGGTAAGAAAGCAAGCAAGCAATAATTTCTTCAGCTTTTTAGGCCTGGTAACTCTTTTAAAAGACATGCCAGTAATAGTGATATGTCAGCAGTTCAGATGGATTAAACAATACTTGCAAAAGACAAGTGGCTTAGATGGTTCAAACTGGCTCTTATTCCATAACAATAGTGGAATTAAGTCTTTTAGTCTAATATAGGTAGTTATGCTTTTGTCAAAAATATTTGTACATGGATTGAGGATGCATAGGAGTCTTTTTAAAACAGTAGGTAATTTTAAAGCTTAGTCTCAAAGATAACTAGGTTTAAACAAAAAGTTTTGCAATGACAGGGTAAAACCAGTTGGAAGTAAGTCCCTGCTGACTGCATGTTAGGCAGCAATTGATTATAATCTAAAATTTCAGTTGGCAAATAGTTGATGTTTGAAGCCTTATACAATACCAGCAGTCTTCACAGCTGGTGGTGAGTGCTTCAGGTAGTAACAAACAAAAAAAAGCATCATGTGTCACTCAAATGTGAAGCCTGGCTTTCTTCCCATGGTATCTGTCATAAAACCTTTGAGAGTTCACATTCAAGAAGGCATCAACTGTAGATGTACAAATAGTTCATACCGCTACACCATTACAGATGCAACTGAGTTTTAATATTTTAGTGGAAAAGGTGACTAACTTAAATTATGAAACGGTGACTGGCTGCACTGAAATGCTGCTGCAGAAGCCAACTTTACTTAAATGTAAAGATGTTACAGTTTCAGTGGAATGGATAAGCCTAACAACAAGTAAAAACAGTAATTTAGACTGCATTCAGGCTTAATCTCTGCTGTGTAGTCAGCATTCCAATGTGAAAGGTGCACAATATACTTAATCATAAAAAAAAAAAAGGCAGCTTGGGGGTTTCTTTTAGTTAAGTGTTAATTTCCCAGGGCTGGAATGGCCAATAGTTGTTGTAAGGACACTTGCTAAAGAACATACAAAGTGTAGCAATGTGAATGCTGTAGTTTAAATGTTGGCTCAGAACCTGTAAAATGGGTTTCTTATAAAAGTGGGTCCTGTAGTACGGCTCTTCAGGTAAATTCTTATGATGAGAATTTCTGCAACTTAGTTCAATATTAAGAAAATATTTACAGGACAGTTGCGTAAGTTCTGTTTGGGTTTTGGGTTTTGTATCACTTGTGACCCACTGGCTAACATAATGTTTATCATTTAGGCTGTTGAGCTTATGGAGAGAAGTGAAATGCCTTGCCAAGCTCTAGTAAGAATGCTGGCCAAGAAACCTGGTTGGAAGGAAACAAATTTTCAGGTAATACATTATCCTTCAGTAACTAACAGTCCATTTTTGTTACTTAATGTAAGATGTGTTTCCAACTAAAAGGCTGTAGGTGCATATATGTCATTGACAGTCCTAGTACCATGACCGCAGTTGTATCTGTAGTCAATGAGAATATAAACTCTGAAATTAGATTTTATTTCTGCTGACAGTTGAGACTTAGAGACAACATTTGAAGATATCTAGATGTGTGTGTATACATGTATGCGGATATGTGTGTGTATGTATGTGTGTATATATAAATTCTAAAAGTAGATAATGGCTGCCCAGTATTATTGATTGTGTATGTATATATACATACAGATATAAAAATATGTATTTGTGTATAATCACACAAAATCATATATATACAAGTGTGTGTATATAAAATATGTATGTGTACACATGTTTGTGAACACAAACATATATTAAAATGTATATAAACATTTGTGTGTATATACACAAATACGTATTTTATGTATACATTTGTGTTTACCCTCAAATACATATTTTTTTAATATATCTATAAATGTATAGAATAAAAAAAAGTCTAAACTACATGAAGACATGAGTAACTTCCTTGCTGTTATGGACATTCCAGGTGATGCAGATGAAACTGCATATAGTTGCATTGATTGCACAGAAAGGAAATTTCTCCAAAACTTCAGCACAGGTTGTGATGGATGGTCTTGTAGACAAGGTTGGTGATGTGAAATGTGGGAGTAATGCAAAAGAAGCCATGACAGCAATAGCAGAGGCATGTCAGTTGCCATGGACTGCTGAGCAGGTGAGTGAGCAGCAAAGGTATTCTTCCAGTAAATAAAATCAGAAATATTATGTGGGGTGTTCTTTCAGTCTGAGGAGTAAATCCTAAATCTCTGGTTTTTCTCTGTTGCCTGAAAGTGATTTGTTTCCTCTCAAGATACCTCCTAAGGCAGAAGTTAAATACAAGTTCCTCCAAAAGAGGAAATAACAAGTAGTAAATCAGTATTTTGCTGAAATACTGCCAAAGCAGGTACACATCCATAATAAAGGTATCTCTGGCTGCCTTTAAGTACTTTAGGAACTTCTGGTTCACTTTAGCTGCAATCATGTTCTGCTACAGTGGCACAAAATTTTTTTCTTGTATGTTACCCCAGCTGTTTCTGTTTACTTGCAATGCCCTGTGGTTTTTGCAGGTGTCTTCACTCCTTTATTACAGTACTTTGTCACCTGGTTTGCCAGTGAAAATTTACACTTAACTCTCTTCTGTTCCAGGTTGTGGCTATGGCTTTCTCTCAAAAGAATCCTAAAAACCAGTCAGAAACTTTGAACTGGCTTTCAAATGCAATTAAAGAGTTTGGCTTTTCTGGGTACGTCTTTTAAGTAAATTGCTAAGAGAAACTTGAATGAAAATGTTTCTAATCTAGGACTAAAAATCTGCTGTTCTCTGCCAAATTGGTCTGAAGAGGGTGGCTGCAAATGCATCTGACGTTTTGTTCCTTAAACTGATGCTGGCTTTAAATGTGTAAATGAAAGTATCTGACATTACTAATAGGATACTATTACACTACTAGATACTTTATTTATCACCCTGCCTTCTCTGAAGAGCACTTTTCTTAAACTTTATTTACTATAGGAGTGGGCTGAGCAAGGAGCTGTGGTATTGTATGTCTGTTGTTCCTGTTCTACTTGGATACACCTGCACCCAGGTGGATCACTATTTTATAGTTTAAAAAACCCAAAACCTGACAGCCTACAGAAGAGTACATACCAGCATGCTTATTGCTCTCCTTGGGAGAGATTTTGAGGCTGATAACAGGATGAAGTCTTAGCTAACAAAATAGCCATTATTGCAACTGGCACTGTGAGGGTAAGAAATGGATTCCTCATCAGAACCAGGGATAGCATTCCTTAATTTTTAATCATCAGTCTCTTAACTGAATGTGGTCAAGCATATGTAATACAGTTTACTCCTGAGAACAAAATTTCTAAGCAGTGAAGACTTCAAATATTAATTTATTTGACTACTTGGGCAGTTATTATTCCTGTCCAAGTTGTTTTGCAGCTATTAAATGGATAGTAACATTGACTAAGTCTGGAAAATAAACTCTCTTCAGTAAATTCCCCCGAAAGTGCGTATTTCCAGCAGGGTAATCTATGTGTAGATGTGATACTAGAACAGCAGTGTTTGAGGCTGCACAAAGGAAGCTTCCATGATTGCCTGTTTTCTCTTCTGTTGAATTCAGTGCTGGTATAGAAGATTCAGTAATCTAAACCTTCCTTTCTTTCTCTTTTAAATTTTTTTGAAATTTGTGCCTTTCTCTGGAAGATCCTGAGACAGACTAACAAAAAAAAAGCTTCACCTTTATTATGTAGCCATGTTTCAGGTGCTTAAAATTATTCTAGACTCATCCCTCAGGATTTCAGTCCTAGCAATCATGTGGGTGATGTAGTTTAAGAAACTTTCCAGCTGTAGTAATAGTAGTCTTTGATATAAACTATCTTGTTTACTGTATTGATTTTCATAGTAGGCTATTCTCCAAACTGATCTCTTTCAGTAGTTGTTTAAATAGCTACAATCTACACTGTACCTGTGATATTATTTTATAAGTGCAAATATCTTCTGCTTGTAAGTTAGTTGTATGAATCTGTTCTCAGCGCATTTTTTTTTCTTTAGCATACTGTGGTGATTGTTTCTTGTTGGTGCTTCCTGTGTTGTTTTACTTATGGGGGATACCTTTTTCCCACAGACTGAATGTCAAAGCTTTCATCAGTAATGTGAAGACAGCTCTTGCTGCAACTAACCCAGTGAGTAAATTTAGAATTTTAATCCTGAATTATTATCAGTCCTTAACTTGAAGACTGAGTGCTTTTATCCTCTTTCTGGCAGGCTGTAAGGACTTCTGCTATTACCTTGCTGGGAGTCATGTATCTTTATGTGGGACCTCCTTTGCGAATGTTTTTTGAGGATGAGAAGCCAGCCCTTCTCTCCCAGATAGATGCAGAATTTGAAAAGGTATGAAGTGTAGCTCTTTTACTACCAAGTATCATTAAAACTACTTGGAAACTTCAGTAGCTGGAATCTGTAGTAACATCGTGGTCTAACCTGTGCTTTTGTAAGTGAAGCAGATTTTTTTAAGACAGCTCACCAAAGCAGCTGCAAACTCATTATGTCTAGCTATGTCAATTTTTTTCATGACAAACTTCAAAAGTTTCTGGTTTTGTTTGAATAGCATAATGTTTTTAGAAGTCTGTCGCCCTGAGACAGCGTATTCGTGTCATGCAAGTGATTTTTATTTTTAATGTGAAATGAAAAACTGTAAAAATAGCTGTTTCTGATTTTTGTGTTGCTTGCAGATGCAAGGGCAGACAGCACCAGCCCCAACTCGTGGCATTTCCAGGCACAGTGGGGGAGGTGGGGATGATGGTGAGGAAGAGGAACAGGAGGATGTTGGGAATGATGTTGTGGATCTCTTGCCAAGAACAGATATTGGGTAGGTTTGGATTCTGCAACCTGAAGACATACTTCCACTGTGATTCAAAACTTTGTGTTTTATAAACACTTTCTAAGCAGAAATCTGTGGTGTTAAGGCACTCAAATACTAAAAGATACATAAGTAAGAAAATAGGCTTTTTAGCCAAGGAGAATCTCCATCCTTTATTGGATGCAGGGGGGAACATTGTCACTGAGGATGAGGAAAAGGCTGAGGTACTCAATGCCTTCTTTGCCTCAGTCTTTAACAAGCAGAGCAGTTATCCTCAGGGTACTCAGCCCCCCGAGCTGGAAGACGGGGACGGCGAGCAGGATGAACCCCCCGTAATCCAAGAGGAAGCAGTCAATGACCTGCTATGCCACCTGGACGCTCACAAGTCTATGGGGCCAGATGGGATCCACCCGAGAGTGCTGAGGGAGCTGGCGGAGGAGCTCGCCAAGCTGCTCTCCATCATTTATCAGCAGTCCTGGTTAACGGGCGAGGTCCCGGAC